CACCTTGTCCAGTGGGTCAGATACAGCTTCCACAGATTAGGAAAAGACAGACTTATTTAGCAAATATTTCTCTACTGTTGTTCTTCCCTCAACTGGACCTATGCCTACTCCGCTGTCAAATTTCGCTCCAACATTAGTATTGAACCTTGTACGTCCAACTGTTGGGCAAATAACCGATGCTATCAATAGCCTACGTGACGATATTGCATGCGGTCTAGACGAAATCCCAGCGGCTGTATTAAAAAAACGTTAGTATCATTTCTGTATAGCTGCACCATATCTTTAAATTATCCATCGAGACAGGAGAATTTTCTGATAAATGGAAAGTTGCTACAGTCAATTTGACCTATGAAAAGGGTCCTAAAAATATTGTGTCTAATTAAAGACCAATATCTCTCCTTAGTATCGCTAGTAAAATTCTTCAAAGATTCGTATATAATCAACTTTTTAACCAACTTAATCCAAACAATGTTTTTCAAATAACCAGTTTGACTTTAGGCCCAAGACCCCAACCATTGATACACTTCTTTACCTATTAAATAACTTGACAAAGACTTTAAATACACAACCACCAGTCGATATCATCTTGGTCGCATCTGTCTCAGAAAAACCCTTTGAAAAGCTCTCATTTCCAATAATTCTATCGCGATTAGCGCTGTTAGGATTGTGACTGAATGTGTTAAAATGGATTACTACTTATTTGACTAACCGCTACCACCGAGTTTATCTGCGCCTACGCCAGTACTCACCGGGGGAGTACAAGGTTCCATTCTTGGTGCCCTACGTTTTCGTATCTTCATAAATGAACTACCAACTGTAGTCCAATCACCAGCAGACAGCATACTTTTTGCCGATGATTGTACACTCTACTGTCTAATGGCCTCGTCAGATATGTTAGCTGTATGTCAAGAGAATATTGAGAAAATATGTAACTGGTATACCTCAAATCTAATGCCTTTTAACCCAAATAAATGTGCCTGGATGTTTATCTCTAATATACCAAGTAGAGCCAATAATTTACAATTCACATTGAGTGATGGTACACCCATAATGCATGAACTTTCTCTTATACTCTTAGACCTTAAAGTCAGCTCTAATCTGAGATGACGTGAACATATTGAAGGTATTGTACTAAATTGAAGAAAACGACTAGGCACTATGTACAGACAATTTAAAGATGCACCCTCTTCAATTCGTCTACAAATTTATAAAACCTGCATATTTGCTAACCTACATTACGCCTGTGCTCTGTATGATAATCACGTTCCTAATTTGGAAAGTCAACTTGAATCAGTTCAAAAAGTAGCGGCTCATATGATCACACGTGATTTTTATACACCAGGAAAAGCTTTTGTCGAAAAAACTAAAATTACCTTTACTCTCCGTGGGACCGAACTACTTCCGACTAGTGTACTTTTTTTAAGGTCCTTAACGGCTTATCACCCTTATCTCGTTTGAATCTTTTACAGTTTGATGTGAGTAGAAGATCAGATTGTCTATTACAGCATAACAGACAAGTTTATATCCCATTTGCGCGTACTGAAACTGTTCTACAATCCTTTTTGTATAGGACAGCTCGCAATTGGAACTCTGTCCGAAACACTGTAGCTATCTCGCCAACAATAAAATCTTTCAAAACCAAACTGAGGTAGCACCTAGAACTGTAAAAGGAGGAGAAAGAAAAGTAGGATAGAAAGGTGGCAATTTTTACAGGTGTCCAAAACCTTTTCTGCTTTCCTGACAACATGTTTATGTGTAGGTTAAATTTTTGGTATTGTAAAACTAAAGATTACTCTTCTCTGTACAAAACTGCTGTTGTCAAAATAAAAATCCATCAATCAATCAACTATGTCCACGATAGGTAAGTGCCGACGTTCAAATCTCCTCAGCACAGAGGTTTTTATGATTTTTATGCATTATTTTCCAACAAATTTTACTCTAAATATTTTTGCTGGAATTTCGGTCATATGTTGGGGCCAAACTAGTACCGATTCACTTCAACGACCATGAGCTACAAAAGTCCACTAGTCTCAGGTTGGCAACATCTCAAAAAGAAAGCTCTATAAGTTGATACGAAAGACTTGAGAACGTAACGATAACTTGACACCCTTAGCTGTAAGTCAAGATTGTTTAGCCGAAAACTAGACACGAGCACGGTTTTATGCATAAATTGTGTAGGGATGGCAAAGAAGTAGAGCAGGTACGGATACGAAGCTGTTGGGTAGAGGCTAAAGAAAACTTTCGGGTCCGAAATCGGTATTCGTACACATCTGTATGGAAACTACCTGTCCAGACTGTAACCCCAAACACACATCCATTTATTCTTTCTGCAGCAGAGTAGTGCTGCTGATTTCAGAACTTTCCCAGTATATTTTTCGAAATGTTCGATACAAAAGTTCTCTTCCTTGTTGCTCCCGTAGCGAAATAAAGCTGAACTCTTGTACTGATAGACAAATTTCGCGAAAGGAACACACCTTGCCTAGGAAATAACGGAAAATGCAACGAATAAAGATACTCTTAGAAATTTTCAGAGCTCAAGCCGGAGAGTTCGAACTGAGGCTTGGATCCGTTAAAGTAGGGTGATCTCCAGCTGAGGACCAAGTGTTAAATATCTGAGAAGTGTTATGTATGTTATGTAACTGAATTTATTTTCTTTCTGTCAGTTGCATTGCGGTCCAGTTCCCATCGAGACTACATTCATTAATACAAGGAACTTTGACACGTTCAGAACAGTATGTTAGACCCACCATTCGAGCATCTGAGAGACGTCTTTGCGTTAAACTTTCTAGCAGAAGAGTATGCTGTATATGTCTTTCGATAGATGCGAAGAGAAAGATCAATTTGACCAAGAAATATGCGGTCGACTAAGATAACCGTACAGTAAACATCAGATATGTTCCAATTCATGTCCGGCATGTAATGTTCACCGTTTCAGAAAAAGTCGAAATCGACTTCAAAATGCTTCGTTCTGCATGAAAAACACATGAGTGAAAGGATGCAAACATTCACATAGCCCCGAGATCACATACCTCAAGCAGCACACAGATGCCAGAATAATCGCGCACAATAAATACTCACTGCACGGGTCAGTGTATAGTGTCGCGTTCGGATTTGTCAAAATTGATTCTAAACAAAGAGGAAAACTTAGATAAAATCGCCGCTAGTTATTAAACGAGCGAAGTCGTGATTACCCATTGTGACAGTAATATTGCGACTGTAATTTGTCATTGTCATGTCAACGAGGGCTCCGTCTTGAGGAACCAGACCGCAATCGACACGATATTCATCAAGAACATTGCTTTGTGTAGAATTGTTTGTGTTGTCAAGCAATTTTATTATCTTTTGAATATTATGGTTTGAACACAATTGTTGACAATTCAAATCCGTACTATTATCTGATGTGGTGGCGGCACGACGTTTTCGCCTTTGGCCTGGACCGACCACGCATTGCGTGGAAGACTGTTTCGTCGGTGCCTTTGCAGATCTGGTAAAAGTTAAGCGTGTAAAAAAGGTCGCCAAAAGAGATGATTTCTGCTTTTTTCTTAAGCAGAATCAGAAAAGTTGATACATACGCTCTTTTCCTCCGTCCACTTGATAACAATCTTTCTATAACTTGTTTTGTCAATACTGCTGTCATATTGATTTGTGCGAATATAATGGTCAACTAGAGAAAGCATGAAGAAGAAGAATGAATGAAGACCGTTTCCAATATTTTTTACCGATTTGATCTACTTACTCGTTGTTGAAAAGACAAAATTGCAGCCGTCGTTGGTGTTAATTTACCATCTGTTGTTGTATCGTTATCATAATAAACAAACTCTAAATCGTCTATTGTATAGGCTATACGGAAATAATACAAACATAAGTAACGAAATAATGTACTAAATCAAACAGAAGAAGTAACGAAATAATGTACTAAATCAAACAGAAGAAGTAAAAAAATAAGAATGAAAACGAAAACGAAAAACAACTGGTTGAATCAACCATTGTATTAGCCACTAGAAAAACAATAAGCAAACGCGTCTACTGGTTTCCGTTGTTGAAGTGGTTGACGTTATCGGAAACTTTGGACTACGGTATGAGAAAAATATTGCCTTCACACTTGATTCTTAAAAATTCCAAGAGACTTTCTAGGAGCACAGAAAGTTTTCGTATGAACCCTGCCAAAACTGCGCTTTTTGAAACACACTTTGAAAACAATTTAGATTTTGACCTTGCATAGGTAAGAAACGATTGTCGAGATTTAACTATCTCACAAATCATTATCTTGTTGCTATCCCATCGGTGGAAGTAGGAAAAGAAAGTGGAGAAATGCTAGTAGTATTTCATCTTAACGTGCATTTTGAAAACCGGAAGGATAGAGTCGTCGGATGGAGGCGGTTTTGAAAAATATCTTCGATGACGAATCTTATACAGTAAAGTACGACGAGTTTTTCTGTCGACACCAGTCAAATACTGATATTTCTCAGCAGCGCTTCTTTCCACACTTTAGACAAGGAACAAAATTGTAAAATTAAGTTTCTTTGCACTCTTATCCAAAAATAAAATATTAAGACTAACCATCGGTGTTTACTTACATTGTTCTACATCATTGCAATTGCAATTAACTGAAACAACAGAAAGACATAAATAGCTACGTGTTAGAGATGACATAATACGGATAGAAAATGTATCCACTGAGTATCGAGGTCGTGGAGATAGAACACGGATGAGAAGTGTGTTCATCTAAACTCCATATATACACAACATGTTCATAAAACCATATTGCGATATACACAATAAACATTTTAGTCATACAAAGTTTGCGTTGTGGCATTTTACTCTATACAGAAAAACATGTGTTAGACCGACCATTCGAGAATCTGAACGACATTTTCGCTTTAAACTTTCTATCAGGGAAGTATACTGCGTATTCCGTTCTATAGAAGCCAACTGAAAGATCAATAGGAGATATTCGCTCTCTGCCAAGTGGGTAAACAGGCGTTCTAATTTTTAATTGATGATAATAATTATACATACAATTTCTTCTACTTCAGTGAGAAAAACAGAATAAGTGAGAAATATACTTATTTGTTGATATGC